CAACATCAAATTTTGAATCTCTTAATTTTATATAAAAATTTAATATCTTATCCTTGTAATCATATGACAGTTGATATCATTATCTAATGATATGATAAGTTTTGCACCCATTTCCATTAAGTCTTGTTATACATAATTGTTATTAATTAGAGTTAAACTTTTGTTAATTAAATATATATATATAATATTATAATCATCCCTTATATTTTTACAGATCATTGTAATAATATCTTTTGTATATTATTTTTTCAGTTAATTTCTTATTTTACATTAAAAAACTAGGTTGAGTTTCGAGTAAGATGAGACCTCCTAAACTCAAATCCAATCTAATGCAGGTGGAAGGATTTAATTTTTTAGTGACAAAAACCCGATTGGACCGATTGCCATCCCTACTTACACTACCTCTATTTATGTTGCAGTTAAAAAAAATTCAAAGATTTAAAATTATTTATGAATATCAAAATATTTAAATTTAAACATCATTTTAAACTTTCTAAAATTTTCAATATCGATCCTTGTAAATTTTTAAGTTTTTATGCTTGCAGTTCAAACATCAAACATAACTGAAATGCATACTTTAAACTTGCTATTTTATTTTATTATCTAGTCGACTTTAAAAAATATTTTAATCCTTGTAATTATATTTTTTTTCAATTTAATATTAATAATAAAAAAACTAAAGCAAAGTCGCCTGTATATACTGGCAATTTTACCAGAAATTGTTTTCATTTGTCGATGAGTTTGGTGGCACGATAATATTCGCCGTACCTTTTAAAATGTATTTTTGGAATAATATTTTACAATTTTTTCCAAATACTATATTTCATTAATTTTGTCCTAATTTAATCAGGATAATTAGTTTCTAACTATATAAATTAATTTTAATTCGATTAAGTTAATTATCCTAATTGGATGTTTATTCTCCTAATTAAATATTTTAATTTATAATTATTCTAATTAAACATTTTTATTAAATTCAAATATTTATTTAATTTCCAATTAATTTCGTATTTATTAAATTAAAATAGACTTTAAAATAAAATTAGTTATATCATTCCATTAAAGTTCTTATTTATGTGAAACTCTTCCAATTAATAATTTTAATTAAACTTATTTTTCTCTAAAAAGCACGAAATATTAGTAAAGAAGGAATAGGAAACAAATTATGAGCATCTATACATGCGTAAAATAAATCATTTTTTTATATTTCCGCCTCTTAAATGCACAACTTATTTTATCTTATTTTTAATCTTAATAAAAAATATTTTTTAATTAATATATTAATTAATGTAATTGGTTGTATTACTCCGTACGAATATAAAATTCTTCTAATTAATATTTTTATTAAATTAAAATACTGTCAACTTAATGCACTGTTTGTGTAACAATTGGTTTACGATTATAAATATATTAGTAATTTACTTGCATCCCAAGTCTTCCTCATAGAGTATATATGTGTGGTGCTATTAATTAGGGTTAAAGCTTCACGGCATTGTATACCTTATGGGGAAAATTTATAGAAAAAGTTGTTTTATTTTGGGCTATGAAACTTCCAATATTCATCACTTTTTCACTTTTGATCTTGAATTAGGTCGGGGAAGTTCTGGGATTACTTACCTTTCCACCGAGATTGTCAAGGGTGTAAAAAGATGATCCGATATGTAAAACTAACTGAAACCGACTCGAGTCAAAATTGTTTTTGACCTGAGTTGTGGCGATCCAAAACCGACTCGAGTCAGAACTGGGGTTCACTTGAACCATAGTTGGACTTGTAAATTGTGGATCTGAACCCGACCTGCACCAGATCTGAGAACGACTTAAACCCGAATTGAATCGAAAATATGATAATCGAACCCGACCTACATCCGACTGATATGAATCTGAACATGAGACTAACCTGGTAAATAACTGATATTACTATACATGTTTTCAACCTGACCTGTTATGAACATGACCTGTAATTTACTCAACCTGTAAATGATCTATCTTGTTATTGAATTGATTTGATATTACCTAAATTGATATTTACCTGACTTATATATTATCATTGATGAAATTATAAGATTTTAATGAAGTTGTGAGATTTTGAGTTTATTTAATATGATTAATTTTTAAATGTTATAATAAAATATTAATTATGATAATTAAATTAATAAATAGACTTATTATATTAATTATAATTCTTATATTATGATTATTATGTTATAAATCTTCAATATAATCATTAATCTTATTTTATTAAGTAATTTATTTATTAAACATGATTAATTAAATTAATTATAATGATTAAAAGTTAGAATAATTTATTGGCATTGAACATGATTAATAAAATTAATTTAAATGTAAACTATATAGTTTAATTTATGTTTTATGTAATAATTAATTAATAATGTAAAGATAATTTATCTAAAAATTATAACACATATATATATAACATAATATAAAAGATGAATTTAATTGATATGCAAAATCTAAATAACATTTGATTGAAAATTTGAATAACAAAAATTTATGACAGTTCAATATAATAAAATGAACAAAAAAAAGGTTAAAATTTAAGCTCTCAGATTTTATAACAAAAGTTTTATAAGGCTAAAAGCCTTACTTTTCTACTAGAAATTTCTTCATCGAGTTTTTGTATCAAAATATCTAAATGCTGCCAACATTGTTAAATTATAGACAACTTTTCAACTTTAAAAGCTGAAATACCATCAACATAATTTTACATGAACAACTATTTAGAAAAGAATTTTACAAGTTACAACAATTTATTTAAGTCAGACTAATAATAATTTACAAGACAGCAACAGGTAACAGGTAGCAACAGGCAACAACAAATAGTAGGCAACATTTTTGCATTAAACAAGCATGCAGTCAGTGGTAAAGCCAAAGGAAATACGATGGCCAATAGTGCCAAACATTTTCGACATTACCAAACCCTTATAGAATCAAGCATTCAATAAACATTTCTAAATGAAGCAATATAACATGACATAATCATTCAAGAAGCATTTAGCATGATGCTTGTTGTAACTTGTAAGGAACCTTACAAAAAAACAGAAGCATTAATAAACATATCGAAAAATTAATTGAATAAACATAATAAATATAAAAATTAATTTACACTAGTAGAAAAAATCCCTTTAATGACACGCATTGAGCGTCATCTATGGGTGCGGATGACACATATTTGCCTGTCATTGAAGCCACCGGCATGAATTTAGGATGACGCGCAACTGTGCGACATAAATTTATGACGCGCATTTATGGCACACATTTATGACGTGCATTTATAACGTTCATTGAGCGTCATTGAAGCCCCCGTCATAAATTAAGAGGACACACATTTGTGTGTCATAAATTTATGACACGCATGTATGACTTACATTGCGTGTCATTGAAGCACACGCCATTAAAAAAAGATGCGTCATTGAAGCACACGCCATTAAAAAAAGATGACACACATTCGTGTGTCGTGATTGTATTTCGTAAATTATTGTTATATATATATATATATTGTAAATTGACAAATAATCAAACTAAATCACATTTAATGCCTCATAATACTAAATATATATATCATATTATATATAAGCAATCCATTTGCATACAATATTAAGTTACAAACATAATATCCATCACCTATGGCTATTTGAAAACAAAAAACCAAAAATGTTCTCAGATTATCACAAGAAGATACTAACAGATTATAAGATCTTAGATGCAACTCCTCTAGCTTCTTCTGCAATTTTGAAGTTGCTTCTTCATAGTCGAGAACTCTTGAAACAGGCTATGAATGAGCATTGGCTTCAACTGAACTAATAGGAACATCAGATGCACCAGCTGTTCCCGACCCCTTCCCAAAATTATAGCACAAAATCCATTCTACCTGTAGGTTTCTTTGATTTGGATCCAATAAATCTGTTATTTGCTCATTGTATATCTGCAAAAGAAAATTGAAAATGAAGTGATAAGGAACAAGAATAGTACAACGCTAAGCAATCCAATTATATCAAAACTAAGAATCAAAATAATTCAATTATGTTTATCAGCATGCTTAATTCACAACTTCTAAACGAGAAATATAATACAACTCAAATACCCACCTTGGCACATAGAAATCCAATTACAATCCCTCTAAGGTAGAAAAGACGAACAATAATGCATAAAGTATGGAAACAGGAATTACTCAATCGCACTGATTTAACAAATTAGATTTCTAAATTACATACCGATCAGCTGGTAACCACAGAAGTCACATATAAGTTAAATGTCCTCGGGAATAGACTATTAATAGTAATTTAACTTTGAAATAGGCTTGCGATGCTATATGCATGAAAAATAGAATACACAAAGGATATCATAAAGACAAAAATAAGAAATTCATAGATCAGTTAAAAGCATAGCAGCAGAGCCCCAAACAAAGGGAACTAATTAACAACACATAAAATATTAGGAACAAAAGGTATATTGACAGTGGAACTTACATTTTATTAAAGAACGTTTCCAATAATATTGAGAATTAAGCTTATTGATTACAAATAATAATGCATTAATGCTTACCTTTGGGACATGAACTTCCCATGTTGCCACTGCCATCAAGTCTAAAAATAAAATTAACAACCAAAAAATTCAATGAGAATAGACTCTAACCAATTGACTAGAGAGCCACTGACTAATAAAAATTAACATACCATGGTTGCAAAAGTCAATGCCAGGGAGAAAACCCTCCACCCAGACAGTTTCTTCTTGTTTCGATGTGGAAGTTGCTCTATTGACTTTGTTGTCATTCTCATGACCCTCAAATCCTGATATAAACCCAAAATAAATAAAAATCTTTAACCTCAACTCCATGTTAATACAGTAAACTTTCACCTGTGAAAGCAAATAAGAGGAAAGATCCAGGCACAAAAGTGGTAAGAACTAAAGTGTAACCTCATTTTTCCATCAATTTCATTAACAGGCTCTCCACTTAGTCCACTATGACTGATGGTCACCTCAGAACTTCTTTCAACTGGACAAGTTGTCTCGATATCTTCTTGAATTTGGGGAAATACATAAGAATGTGGAAGAGGAAGGTTCAGAGCACGAGACCAAAATATAGAATTCGCCCTAGCATTATAGAAATCACGCAGTATTAACCACCAAAGTTTAAAGTGCAAGGAATGTCATCGTATAATAGTCAATCTCATTCATTGTCCCTCACCCACCCCATTTTGAGAGAGAATAAGAAAGATTCCATTTTGAGGAGATCCCTACCAAAGGAAATCTTCAAAGCAGACCTCACTGCAAAAGAAGCATTAACAACAATTCATAATTGGGAAAAAGGAAAATAAACACACTTGATTCCTATTTTATTCGATGTAATTAATACCGACCTTTCTGAAACTCCATCAAGAGCAAGAAGTTTCTTCACCAAACCCTTCACTTTATCTTTGTACACAGAAATCAAATCCTTTTTCTATAAAACAATTACACTAACTTTCATCATCATGGGTAGTCAAATTACATGCATTTCATCTTCAAGAGAAACGTTAAACTATATGCTTATATTTACCCGTAATTCAGTTGCTCTATACAAGATTGTTCATCTCAATTCCAGCATCTCATTATCGGTAAACCATAACGGGTTCCCAAAAGTGGTGGGAAGCATATCAAGATACCTGAACCAGTCTTTAAATCCACATAAATAATAAATAAAAGAAAACAATCAAATATGTTAAGTACATACGGTTTCCACGAAGAATTATTTCGGAGACGTTCCACAGTAAGAAGTTTTTAAATCTGTTGTTCGTTGAACGAGAGGGAATTGAAATGTAAAGGGTTGGAGTAAAATTAAGTTCGGTTCGGTAACGGATAATCCTGCAAAATAATACCTGGCATTGCAAATAAACAATCTTCATCTGCTATCACTTTGATATATCTAAGCAATTTTCGGCTTCATGACTTTCTTCCTTAGTTGCCTCTTTGTGATCAAGCTCTTCATCCCCCAGAAGAACAATAATGCACCGCATTGCGCAACAGACTGCCATTAATGAAAGAATCAATGAAGTTTGCACGTTGTATTTCGTAATGCATAGGGAAATACTTCAGATATAGACATGCAAATACCTGCAGAAAATCACCGAGCTGAGCAGCGTACTGGGGCACTTCGGGTCGATAGTTGTAGAAGTCATAGAGAAGAGGAGTGCTAACCAGCAAATACACAAACTATGACAAAAGAAAGAACAATTAGATGAGACACGAAAGAAGAATCAAACGTAACTGCTCGGTGGAATTAACATATAACTTCATAGTTCAAACGGAACCAAAATAATCACTCTTAAGAAACAAAAATCTCACCATGAGGAAGACTCCAAAGCCATAGCCAAATACAAATAGAATAACACCGAGTCCTTTCAAAGCAATAGCGGCCGAAACTAATTTTTAATTTGCCTAATGTGTCCTGAAGGTAGAGGTCTTAGCTTTGTTCGCTTCATTTTTGCATCATTATTTATCTCAAAAACCTAGAGGCATGAATACCATTGGTTAACTGAAATGTCAGTCTATCTAGTTAATTCATGAAAGTAACTTAAAATACAACCACCATGCTGTCACATCCTTGCAACATTGGCCAACTCAAATGTAAGAAAAACATAGTGTTCAAGAAAGAAGGTAAGAAGAAATTACAATTTGCAAGTCACGAATTCGATTCCTAGAATATCAACTAATTTATAATTGTTTCTTTCCCTATCCCCTTTTGCCAGGGTACTTATCTATCACTTCTATCAATAAAGCTATGTCGACGAATTTAAATCATAACCAATGAGCTTTTGCACCTAAAAGCTATGTCTGTACATCCGTCCCGGTCCTAGTTTCTACCAAGGTTAATAAAAAGGAAAGAAAAAAGAATGTCAAAACATAAGGGCTTTTACAAAAGTGCAAGCTTTTTCACCTAAAAGGTGCATCTTTTATTATGAAAGAATTACATGAAAGGCAAACCTCAAGAATAATAATGCTTTTCTCCAATTTTTTCACATTTCTTTACAAAACATACTTCCAAATATCTAAGAAAGAATAATTTTATCAAATATCTAAGAACCCTAAACTCCTCAAGAAAATATTTAAAAGATTGTGCATGAAAAATAACCTATTAGTTAGCATTCTAAAATTGTGCATGACAAAGCATTCAATGAAAATAATTAAATATTTAAAAGACAACCTGATTCAATGAATTAGCCAAAGCAGCAACCATCATGGTTCCAGCACAAGTACAACAAAGATGTAACACCCCAACCCGTATCTAACCCGGATCCGAGTTCGAGGTATTACATTGACTTTTCAAAACTTTTGCTTGTACAAAATTAGTGAATAATTTAAAACTTTTATAACATATAACTTATTCAAAACGTTTACAAAACTATTCAGAGCTTATACAATACATTATTTTGAATACATGCCAACTAAAACTTTAGTTGTTAACATACATATTATTCATCTTTCTTCTGATCTGACCTTCGGTAAGGAGAACTGACCTGTCTTGCTCCACATTTCTCTTTACTCTTCTCACTCTTGTAACCTACGTGTGAAACAATCACACGCTAAGTCTATGACTTAGTGAGGCAATAAACATATAATGTAAACATTTACTAGTAATCACTTCTTACAACTCATATATTGTTATATGTAACAAATACACACACACACACACACACACACACACACACACACACACACACACACACACACACACACACACACACACACACACACACACACACACACACACACACACACACACACACACACACACATATATACATATATGTCATTATCATTCATATCTCTTGTCTCCTGTTCCTATGATCTTTTATGTCCATATTATATATCTGATAGACTTGTTATTCTATCATCATGTCAATCAATTATACTCATTCACATATACCTTAACATGTACTCACGTATACCATATAACATATATATAGATCATGTCATGTAAAACATATATCCTATCGTAAATCAAATACACACAAGCAACTATATCATCATCTTCATTCTTATCACTATCATTGATTCATTTTATCATATAATCTTATAATTACATTTGTACCATCATATATCACACATAACATTTCATAAGGAAACAAACATATCATCATATCCAGTTTATTAATATTATCTCTTTATTAGCCCATGGTACACATGTGAGAACTGTAAATACGTGAGTCTATTGAGGTTGTGCACCACTATGCTATCACCACAGCTCGTATAAATGTCCCGAATGACCTATCCAGAGGTCACAAAGACCCCGACAACTATCCAGAGGTCATAAAGAACCTCGGCAACTGTCCATAGGTCCCGAAGAACCTAGGTAAACTGTCCATATGTCTCGAAAGACATAGGTAAACCATCGACTCTTGGCATGCCAACTATACCCCTAGCTCTCATATCACATAACATGGGCATTATCATTTATAACATTTCATATCACTTGTTATTTCTTTTCTGTCACATACCACATGTATATGTAACTATATATCTCATATCATATCACATGTATCACAAGTGCATGTATTCACGTAGATCATTTCATATGACTTATACCATTTCTTATTTGTTCATGTAACTCGCATGTCATATCATGTAACATATAACACATATACTCATACACACATATAAATCATAACAAACACATACCTCTATAAATTCATGCATTTTACTATTGGAAATAGACTTATCATAAGTCTTATTTTCCATTTAACATCATATACTAAATAATGTGCACTCACCTTGGCCTCACTAAGTTTCAATCCACTTTATGATTTCCTCTTTTTCGATCGAATCTTAACTTGATACACAACCCGAAACTTGTTCGTGTTCGATATCTACATAATTATACATTGATATATATCAGTATGTCATTATTATAATCTAATCTATCATTTCTTAGACCAGAAGAAATGTCTATTTCAATTTCCCTTTGAAGTGAATCGATGCATGCTACAGTGTATCGATGCATTCTTTAACATGTACATCGATGCACTACACATGCATCGATACACAAATTACCTTCGATGTTTTCATTTTAAAGGGATGCATCGATGCACTCCTTATGCATCGATGCACCATTTTCATTCGATGTTTCTTCTTTAAAGAGTGCATCGATGCACATTCAATGTGCATCGATACACCTTGCCCATAATTTGTATTTTAAGCCTGAAAATCCATTTAATTCAACTCAAATTCTTCATATTTCATTTCCTTTCATATTCCTTACTTACATATACATATTTTCCCTCATTTCTACTCAATAATCACTTCTTTAACCTCCATATTCTATTCTCCTTAAGAAATTCAAGAATCATACCCAAATTTTAACATGTTACAAATCCAATTATAATACTTCATTCATGTTAATTAGATTGATGACAAGTCAAATTCACTCTAAAACCTCATTAAAGAACCATCTTTCAAGATTTCACTTATACCTCTCTTTTATTTAATCCCCTCTATTCTCTTCATCTTATTGTTTCAAGATAATTTAAGCTCTTCTTATGCTTAATTATCACCTAATAATCAAAACTCAACCTTAAATTTTAGCTAATAATCAACAAATAAAGAAACTCACCTTTGCCTAGCTTGGGCACGTTAGAGAAGAAGAAAACAAGTGAAGAAGAAGAGAATTTTCATCTTCCTCTCCCTCACGTGTTAATCTCCTAATAAAGGGGAGAAAATATATTTCCTTATCAATTAACCATTTTACCCTTTACTTCATTTAATAATTACCAACAACTTTTATGATTTATTTCCAAATAAATCATTGAACTAATCCATAGTTCTACTATAGTCACCAAATTCTGAAACTTTACAATTTGATCACTAACCCGGTATTGAGGATGTTACAAATCTCCCCTTCTTTAAAGAAAATTCGTCCTCGAATTTTCACTGAACATATCAGTAAGAACATATCTTTTAATGTTCTCATGCTAGTTCCTTTACTTAATCTTTCCTTCCTTTATTACATTATTCCTTTATTTGATCCAAATTAAAATCTCTCCTTATACATAAATCATATATTTCCTTTCATATTCATATACTCTTGTCTTATCACCTATACTCATCTCTATGTACCAATCTCCATTGCATCTTCATAACTTTGATCATCCATTTCTTATACAGAGTTTCATTCTTTATCATTTCTTATACTTGTATTTTTTTTCTTCCCTAAGGTTTCATGCAAATACTTATCTCCTTTTCTACATCACAGTGATCTGATCAGAATACACAACTATATTCAGTTTCACATCATAATTGATTAACTCAACTTTATCTTTTCCTCCAATCTTATAACTCTATCACTTTTACTCTAATATCTAGTCAATAACATTTGTTCAATCTAGGGCACAAACCCTAGTCAACCAATCATATACATCCTACCTTTCATCATTTCTTAATCATTGTATGTACTTTAATACACATGAGCTTTTCATATTACTTTATACTTCTCTTTCAATCCTTATTTTCCCTCAACCATAAGTATCGTTATTTCCTTCACTATATCTCATTCATATGATCAACATATTTTTCAGCATGTAATCTCGTTAGTCAAC